CGATTTGATTAAGGCAGCCATTGATATTACTTAAAGGAGAAGAGCAGGCCGCTGTTGAAGCACACCCATCCTCAGTTTTTCTGCCCTTCATTTACTCCCAGTTCTGTTTGGAGAGTAAGTTCTTTACTCTCGTTTTGTGTACTTTCTCTTGAAATCATGTGTCTATAAACTGAGATTTATGGTGTTTCCAGTTTAAAGGCAGATGAGAAGCTGAGTAATTTGGGGTCAAGAAATTTCTTTATGTGTTCAAAGCCTTATTCCAGCTCTGTCAAATTATTTTGGTCGGAGCAAGCAAAAATGTCAATCAACTCACATTTCCTTGACAAAATTCATGGATTTCTTGCTGTAGCTAGATAGATTTAGTTAGTGATCTTCAGACTCTAACTTGTATCCTATTACTAAAACTCATGTGATTGCGATAAGCTAGTATGTATGCTTTTAAATATTTTTTATAATTTTGAAATTAACATTTAACCCCGTCCACACTTAATTTGATCAATTAGGTTTGTTAGTAAATAATAACTATAGTAACTAACTAATAATGGGGTTCCGAGTTGGTAAAGTTTGGGGCCAACGGGTTTGTTTTCCCTGTGGTTTGATTGAATCACAAGACAGTTGTTAATACTATGCCCGGACTTAGGGTTTACCTTTTTCGAAGCCTTGTTTCAGGGTCGGGACTAGTCGAGACAAGTATCATCCAAAATTTCTTTTGATGGGCAAAATAAAAACTATTTGCATATAATCTATTTTGTTTTTTTAGTAAATTGTCACAAAAAAAAAAAATTTACATATTAATATTTTCTTTTTTAAATTTCATGGCCATCCCCCTCAACATACTCTGGATCCACCCCTAAGTCAGATATGCACTAAGTTGACCGGGTTCTTTCCAATTTTTAAACCACCACTAAAAACCCAACAATAACTCTATCTTCAATAACTACGTAAACAAACCCATTCCCTCACCACAAGCCAACCCAAATCACCATCAACCACCACAAACTCATTGATCAACTAAATATGTATAATGACCCTAAATCTATTACAAAACTCATATTCAATAACCAAAACAAACCCATCTTCACAACTCACCACCACAAGATTAGGTTGGTGGCAAAGGGAGAGTTGTGGTGGCCAAAGGAGGAGCTCATGGTGACCAAGTGAGCTCCTCTCATGGCAGGTCTGCCAGGGAAAAGGAGTTAAAGTGGGGAAGAAGAAAAAAGGGGGTAGAAAGAGAAGAGAAGAAGAGAAACTGGGAAAAAAAAGGACATTAGGATTAAGGAATATAAAATTGAAAAGTATTGTAGGGTTGAGCGGTTTCGGCGTACCCTATAATTTTTGGAGCAACGGAACCTGAAATGTAGTTTCAGTTCCTTACCTGGTACCCTTAAAAAATAATTACCCCCTATTATTTAAAAAATGAAAAAACACCTTAAAAGTTTACAATGCAACCTCGAACAAATTAAGAAACCAGCATTTAGTAGTTTTTAACTTTTGATTACTATTCATTTGTGTCCAATGTGACATAGATCCTCTAATGTCTAGGCAACTTTGTAATTAATATTTAATCATTTAATTAAGTAATGTACTAATCACTAATGCAGTAAATTACTATTTGTAATGTATATTATAATTAATTAAGTATCTACTATAAATCTATAATATAATGTTATAATTATAAATTTTTAATCGTTTAATTAATAATATATAAAACTACTAATGTAGTAAATTACTAATGTTTATAATGTATGTTATAAACTATAATTAATTAATTAAGTAATCATTAACTAGTAATTATCTAATCTTGTTTCATAACAATATTTGAATCTGTTTCAGTTTCTACAAAAATCCAGCCGAAACTGGATATATCCTCACTCGCAGATGCCATTACGTTTATACGCTCACGCTCCATGCCTTTGTCACGGGCTGAGATTTCATAACCAAAAAGCTAACCTATTACATGAGGGACTGCCCCTCATTTACCCTAAGACCTCCCCAATACCTTCCGATATGGATTCGTTATATTCTCCCCCCACGCATCTATGACTCCCTCGCACAGTGGGGCCCTGCCTACCCGTCTACCTCACCTCTCGTGTGGACCCACAATCACTGTGACCCCTCGTATGGGCGCTTGACTGACTCGAAAGACAGATCAGATCTGCTCTGATACCACTTGTCACGGGTTAGGAGGTTTTCACACGCCACAAAACTAACCTATTAGGTGCAATACTCCCCCTATTATAAGTCCAAAGACCTCCCCCATATGCTTCAGATGTGGAATTCGTTATACTTGTGAGAAATGACAGGTCCTCCTTTTTCCATCGTTTTTTCTTTCCTTATTATGCCCATCATCGCTTAGCTCTTTCTCCATCATTAATCATTCTACAAATTGAAGTCATAATCTTGGGTTCTGATGTAGTCTTGGCTTTTTTATCATAGTGCCGGTAAGGTATTGAGGAAGAACTCTATTGAAGATGTGTGTAGTAGCACCTGAATTATAATCAGATTATTATTGCATAAATTTATAACACTTTGTATGTAATTTTGAGTCAGCTATTCTTTGAGCTTAATGTAAAAAATATTATGTCCTATATAATATTTTGCAACTAAATTGCATTGTTTTAAACCCGCCCATTAGGGACCTGGTAAGGCCATCGGTCTCGGGTTGACCATCTGACCGGTTAAACCGGGTGGTTTGATGGTGATCCAAAAAGTTTAAATCTTGTAAACGCCCTTGAAAAATACAATTAGTCTCTCCAAGTTTGAAATCTAGCAAAATACACCCTTGCACTATTTGGGTTTTGATTTTCCATCCAATTCGCATATTCGAAGCCAAATTTCTCGACACTACCACCTAAACCATCGTCCTCCGCTCTACAAAACCCCTCTAACTCGAAACTTGGTAGCCCCGTTCGTTGGTCATAACTGTGTATACCGTGTGATTGGGTTGTTTTTTCGCCAAAATCCGTTAAATCTAACCCACTACTTCCATTACAAAACCCCTCTAACCCGACACTTGTAGCCCCCCATTCGCCACTGTGACACAAATTGTTGAACTTTTAGCCAAATTCTGGTTTATCCAGTCCAAAATTCAATTCGACACCATCTCTTGAACCATTGGTCTCCACTCTACAAAAGCCTTTAACCCACACTGTTGTACCCTCATTCACCGATCAAATCAGGGATTTTATGAATAGTGAAAAATGGTAAACCAATCGAAGAGGTTCTAGGTCTGGTTGATCGGCTCAACCGGCCGTCTAATCAATTTTAACAGTGCTAAATTGTCGGCTTCTTATAAAATGTTTCAAAGTACTTTCCAAATTTTATGATCGCTTTAACTATTCAGAGATACATGCTGTTTCACACATGGAAGGAGATTGGATACTTAACCGCGTTTAACGGTGGAACCTTATAGACGCGGATCCAAACATGAAAGCACACGGAATATCTTGCACGGAGATCTTTCTTCGGTGTGAAGCAAAGCAGGGCGTTAGATTAACCTAACTGGTGATAGCCCGTGGCCTAAAATTTATCCTTTAGTACCTATATTTTTTTCCTATTATCTTTTAAGGATGACATGAGATGTACTAATAGAAATACAATGAAAAAAGTTTACGTATAAGTTCAATTCTAATTAATTATTATTCAAATATTTAAGTTTTGAATTATTAAATATATCCTTCATACTTTATTTATTTTAACATATAATTATGTTCGAAATTCCTAATGAATGAGTAGAAGAAATTAGAATTTATTGAAGTTTGACCTATTTTTAGTATAAAATATTTTAAAAAAAAAAAATCATCTCTCATTAAAGAAAATAAAAAATAGGGTTAACACAACCCCCTAAGGTTTTATTGATATTAATAACCCGTCTGTTATTTGAAGTTAACGAAAACATGTTCCTCTTAATGAGTGACCCTTATAATTCTCTTACTCTAGTTAATATTTTAATTTTATTCAACATTTTGATTTAATATTACTATATTAAAATGTTAAAATTATTTATATTTTTAATCTCTTTATGTTAAAATTTACGAGAAAATATAACGGCTCAATAACAGTTGAGCTATTATCTAAACCTCAGAGGGTTATGGTATCATCTAAAACAGGGGTTTGTGATAACCTTAAACACATGGAATATCCGGTGACAAAACCTTCTATAAATACCCGCATGTCCAACGTTTTCTGAAATGTTCTTCGTCAAAAGCAAAGCAAAAGCAAAGAGTTTTTTTATTTTGAAATTTTGGGAACAACATAGTACTTTGTTTTTCTCAAATTCAATCAATCATGGGTACCTCTCAAAGTCGCGAGGATTACATATCAGACTCTGATTATGAGAAGAATCAGAATCAGGGAATCATCTCAATACGAGACCTCAAGAAACTAGCTCTCTTCTTCATCTAGATGAAACAACCCTAAATTCTCTGACGAAGTTGATTCCAGACTCAAATCGCTTAAACTGAAATACGCGCAATCCCCTAAACCCTAATCTTAAAAACCCTGTTAACTTTATCTCCATATCGGTGGCAAACCCCAAGCCAAGTGGATCGTCTCTGATAAGCTTACTTCTTATAGTTTCATCAAGACCCTAAAAGTTGACGGCGGAACGCCTCTGATGATGATGATGATGAGGGTGATGGTGGAGATGGGTTTTGGGTTTTGAAAGTTGGGTCCAAAGTTAGGGCTAAGGTTTCGACTGAAATTCAATTGAATGTTTGGAGATCAAAGGAGTTATTTTGTTAACAAAGTGTCTGGGCATTGAAGTTTTTTGGTGTTCGAGTATAGGAAGTTTGTGACTGAGTTTCAAGACTGCTTGTTTGAGAATGTATATGGGCTTAAAGCCACCGAGAGAACAAGATGAAAATTTATGGAAGGAATTTCTTGGGTGGGTGATGCCTGAGGCTGCTGATGATTCGATGTGGGAGGATGCTGATGATGGTTCAGGGAAAACCCTGAATACGTGACACCTGTGAAGGGCAGTCGAGATACGTTGGAGGAGTTTAGGAGTTTACTAATGGAGGAGTGCAGAGTTTGACTTTAGGTGCATTGGATAACAGTTTTCTTGTTAACGCTTTCCCATCGTGGTTCATATCAAATGCCCGAAATGCACTCTGTATGTCCATTGTTCTAACCCCTCCTCCCTTCTTGTGTATTTCCGTAAACTCTTTAAAGTCAATATAACCATCTCCATCCTGATCAACCGCCTGGAAGATTTTCGGAACTTCTGCAGTTATGTTTCCCTGTCCTAGAGCTCTCAGAATTGCCTTGTACTCCGACTGGGATATTTTCCCATCTTTGTTGGAATCAATTTTATCAAACACTTTTTTCATCTCATTTCTGTTTGGCATGAATGTGGGTAACAAGCCAGAATTTTGCCTGTCTCGAGAAAATAGCCGAGATGGCTTCCGCAGAAACTTATTCTTCGAAATCTTGTAATGGAAATCGAGAAAGCTTACGTTTGCCATGTCTACTTGTGTTTTCGCAACCACGAAAATCTGTGTCAAGAGTACAATAAGATGTACCAGGTCTTCTGAATTGCAGAACCACAGAGATGGCATGCATGCATTTATAATCTTTATAGCGTCAGGAGAAAGCAAATTGGAGGTCATCTTTTATTCCTCAAAGTTGAAAAGCAACCATTCTGGAAGGATTCCGAAGTAACAAATAGAATACATAAAGAACAAAGATGGTTGTAGAAAAGAACTTTAAGAAAAGAATACATTCCTTGCTGAGGTTACAACCTACTACCTGTGTGTGTTTTCATTTTCTCCAATTAAGGAGTTTGGCTTTTAGAGTCTACAAATGTAAAACAGGAATATTAAGTGAGGTGGTGAAAAAATACAACTCTTCCGTTATAACAAATCATATTCCCGAGTTAAAGTTTAAAAAAAAGTTTCAGGTCAAGGCGGCTTTCCATTATCTAAATCCTCCATTACTTCAATGTCCTTCCGNATTGTAAAACTTCGTAAGTAATCATATTGTAACTATATATTTCTTCAAAAAGGTAATGTTACACATACAAATTCAAGATCGTAATTTTGTCCTATCTTAACAACATTTATTCCCAAAAAGATAATGTTACACGTACAAGGTTAGGATCATAATTTTGTGTTCCGACTCATATGCCTCATCATATCCCATAATTTATAAGATGTCGTCCAATCAATTTTCACATAAACTAGAATAGAAAGTTAGGATCTTGACTTTATATTTTGCACCTCTCCTCTTGTGGTCGGATGACAAACCTTTTAATCACTTAGGTTAGCTATATCCAAGAGTCTTGTATTCGAATACCATGATAGATATCTACCACATTTGTACAATTACCTTGGAAGGAAAGCATTTGATGAAAGGAAACCGTCTTTTATCGTGAAAGAAAGCCTAGCTAAGGTAATGTAGCTAAGCCCATTCATTCAAGGGAATAGTTTAAAGAGAAAACAACAGTGGCAACATGAGAAGAGATTCTTTCTAGTCCTACCCTCATTCCAAAAGACTTGCACACGAGTGAATTATTCTTCTTTATGTAGCGATAGAGGCGACTTCACTTTATGTTGATTTCTACCCCAAAGTCATTAGCTTCCTTAGTCTTAACCCCATCAATTCCTTCGTTTCCCGTCTTTGTTTAGGCTTAGTTACGGCTAGTTTCATTTGAATTCGAGTATTAGGATAGATACCTACAACATTTATATAATTATCTTGGTCCATTGAGCTTGTATGGGTTCAAATACCTCATATTCTTAAAAATGGAATGTTAGATTCACAATCTAATCTCACAACCTTTTCTCATAATCCTCGATGTGATAGCTCATTATTAGTCAGTTCTTGAAATAGGTCTCATCTGCTTGTATATGTCTCATTGTTTATTTGTAAGTTGATCAATTATAAACTATGACATCCAGGGTTATGAGAGAAAATTGTGAGATTTAGTTGGATAACAACATTTCTGCCAACAAAAACACCGACAAAGACACGAGATAATGGGATTCTGAATCGTGGAATGTGTTGTCTCCTTAAGGTGGAGGACAGTACAACAGATACACGAGTAAAGGACCATTGTAACAGTGATTTATAGAAGCTGGCAGACAGGCAGGCCGCAGGCAGGCAGCCATCCAATACAGAATCCTAAGCGGCTGTCATAAAATTTATGACTTTAACACCAACAAACAAGAGTCTTGTGTACAAAATTCTTTTATTAAATGAAGCTCTGTGTGTGTTATTACCTCATCATGCACTGGACTTCCGTCCAAAAAAAATTAAAACTAAAATGAGTGATGCCTGATCATTTAATACGAACGGGCGTTCATATATAATGGATAACTATCTATATGTTGATATGCATAACGACCATCTATAGTAAATATACTTTTGAAAGAGTTTATTTGGAATACTATCATCTTAATACTACCATGTATGCAACTATTAATTAATAATTCTTTGAAGTATTACTTTTGTTATCTGAGACTGGAATTTGCAAATTCCAAAATCAGTAATTTGGATGAAGTTTCACATCAACTTTATGGGGCTTCACAAAGAGTTTGGTAAATTGAACCCCAATAACTACGAAAATTGAACTTTTGAAAGAGCTTTTTTATTAAACTCGAATCTATTGTATATGGACAGGCGTCAATCATTTTGTTTTTAAAATTTTCTAGAAAGGCGTTTATCTTATATGAACGTCTGTCCATGTAATATGAACGAGGGTCCATTGATATTTTTGTGGACGCTCGTCCATTCGTAATGAATAATCGTCCATAATTATTGGATGACTGTTTATTCATGAAAGATGTATTTTCTATCTAACGTGTTTACGTTTGACTAAATGTCACGCCATTCGATTAAAAAAATTTGGTGCAAAAGTTCAATGTGCATAGCATTATTGGTCAATATTTTGATGTCTTTGGTGCAACGTCATGTTTCATGCATTCTTTTACTTTTTTTTCTTTTTATTATTACTTTTGAGGATTTTAATAATAAAATTATCTTATCATCTCAACTATTAACTGTTAACCACCATCATCACCACCAAGTTTCACGTTCCCTTTTTTATTTTTTTAATTAGCTGTCACTTTTCGATCTTAATTATCTAATTAATAATAATTATCTAATTATTTTACTTGGTTACACTTGTAATCGGATAAGGATTATGGATATCCCCTCGTGCTTTACTATTTTTTGTTCTGGAAAAACTGTTCTCATATATTTGTTACCAAATTATCATATATGGTCGGACAACAAGACTTTAGTCATATGGGCAGGGTCGGCTTAAGGGGTAGACAGGTGAGACACTTGTCTAGGGCCCCAAAAAAATGGGGGTCCAAATTTTTTATAATTTTTTTTTTTTAATATCTTACAAAAATAAAAATGGTTTATAATTTCTTATCCAAGCCAAAGGGCCCCCAAAAAAAGCCAAAAAAGCTCAAATTTATTATAAACTTTTTACAATATTCCCACCAAAATTTAACAAAATAGCAAGTTTGTACCTCTAGTTTTATATATTCTAGTTTATACCCCTAAATTAACACATTAAATCTCTTTTAACAATAGAAGACTAAAATAGTCATTTACATATCTCAAATTACTCACCCCCAATTTAATCCCAAAATTTGACATTCACATAAATCATCTCCAGCCCTCTTCTGCCGCCAGTGGTTTAGAGTTGATTTCGATCAATTTTAGCCCTCGATTTGACTAATTTTTTATGAATTTCGCAACCCAACTCCACCACACGACGGCCATTTCCAGCCTTTTTGGCATGTACCCGACATTGTTGGCCTTCCCCGACACCACCATCTTCCTCCCCCCAGTCCTCTCACCAAAACCCCTATTATATCTTATCCATTTACTCTGCCAATTGCCGGCCATCGATACCTTTTGGGCCGTGACTTTTCAAGCCTTTTCTTATCAATCTTGGTATTGGAAATCACCCATTTCACCACCCATCACTTCTCCAACATCTACTCTCCAAAACCCCCCACCAACCTAACCTTGTTAGCCTGCCGATTGCTGCCCACATCTCCTAGTGATTTTTCATCTCAAAAGGCAAAATAATAATAATAATAATAATAATAATAATAATTTTTTTAATATATGCTTATATTATTAGAGGGCCCCAAAGTAACTCCTGCCTAGGGTCACAAATATTCTAGAGACTGCCCTGGTTATTACCTCATCATCCAGTCAATATTTCAATAATGCTAGGGACACTAAGGGTATGTTTGACTTATTATTTTTACCCATATTCTCAATCCTATTCTTCAAATAATGTTTGGCACATTATTCCAGAAATATTACCCTATTTTTTTAATTACTTTTAGACCCCATAAGGTTATTAATTTCATTAAATGCCCCCTGAAAAAAAGTTTAAAAATTAGCAAAATCACCCCTATGACCCATACTTGCCACTTGCCAGATTCCGGCAACCATCATTGGTGGTAGCCGGAATCTATACAACGGCCTACCTGCCGACCAGAAATGGCCGAAAGTTCATCGATCTACCTTTTTTGGCCAGATCCACCACGGATTTAGCCGGAAAAGGCCAGATCTGGCCGTAACGACGGCCAAATCTTGGCCATCGTTGATCGAAAACTACGGCCATATCTTTGGCCGTAGCTGACGGCCGTCGTTTTGGCCTTTTCCGGTCGTCGTGGCCACGGCAGGCTGTGGATCTGGCCGGAAAAAGCCATAACGACGTGTTACGACAGAGATCCGACCGGTCTGTGTCGTAACGTGATTTTTCGGCCAGATTCCGACGATGGTGGCCGGAATCTGGCACTGTAGGTGGTGGGGGTGTTTTTATCATTTTATACATTAGGCGTTTAATTAAATTAGCAAACCTATGGGCTTTTTCATAAATTTTTACATTTTACCTCGTAATACTCCCCTATCCAACTATCCAATATTATTCCTAAAATCCTCTCCAAAATAATAAACCAAACGCACCCTAAATTTTTACCCCGAATTTTTTTATTGAATGATGTGACACTTAGTTAGATACGAACATATTGGACAAAAAATACATCTCCCATGAATAGACGGTTGTCCAACAATCACAAACAACCGTTCATACTTTATAGACGACCGTTCAATACGAACGGACGAGCGTCTACAAAAATATCAACGGACTACATCCATATTATCCATTTACTATAGACAAGTGTCCAAATAAGATGGACGTCCATCCAAAAGATTTTTAAACCAAAATGAGTGACGTTCGTCCATCTAATACAGACAGACATCCATATACAATAGACAATTGTCCATTGTAAACAGTGGCGGATCCAGCCACTTTTTGGCCCACCCTCAATTTTTTTTTTTTTTAATATTAATATGTATAATTTATATATTTTGGCCCACCCTAACAAAATTATTAATAGATAAAAATAGTAATGTATAATAAATTTTTATTTTAGCCCACCCTAAAAGAAATTTCTGGATCCTCTACTGATAGTAAATGGACTTTTGAAAAGAGTATTTGGAATACTATCTTGCATGCAACTATTAATTAATAATTCTTTAAAGTATTACTTTTGCTATTTCCAAATTCCAAAATCAGTAATTTGGAGGAAGTTTCACATCAACTTTAGGGGGCTTCACAAAGAGTTTGGTAAATTGAACCCCAATACCTACGAAAATTGAACTTTTGAAAGTCTTTTTATTAAACCCGAATAACAATGGATGGTCGTCCATTGTATATGGACGCCCATCCGTATTAGATGGACGGGCATCAATCATTTTGTTTTAAAAATTTTCTAGACAAACGTCCATCTTATATGGGCGCCCACCCATATAATATGAACGGGGTCCATTAATATTTTTGTGGGCGTCCGTCCATTCGTGATAAACGATCATCTATAAAGTATGGATTGTTATCCATGATTATTGGATAGTCATCCATTCACGGGAGATATGTTTTCTATCTAACGTGTCCACGTTTGACTGGGTGCCA